CCACAGCCAGCTGGAAGCCAGCAACTGGACGGCTGCGGCTAACCCGGCTCCAGCCCAGACACCGCCCAGCCCAGGTCTGCGGTCCCCACCTACACTGTGTCCCCTGGCCAGCCCAAACCTGCAGGCCCTGCTGGAGCACTACTCAGAGCTGCTGGTCCAAGCTGTGAGGAGGAAGGCGAGGGGGGACTGAGGGCCTGCAGCTCCTCTCCCAAAGCCCTGCTGCTCTGGAGAAATAGATCTGTAAGCAAATAAACTGACTGACTAAATAAAGTTGTTTCCTGGGACCTGTCCCGTCTGCAGAGAGAGGGTAGAGGGCGCCCTGCATGGATGAACCAGCCTGGAGACTCAGCCTTGCTTCGGCTCTAGGCTCTCTTCTGTAGACCTGCTGACAGGGAACAAGGCTTGGCCTGCTCCCCGTGGAGCCTGTCCCTAGCATACTGAGCCGTGGCCCACTGGAGCCCAGCTGCACCCTAGGGAGGAGCCAGCCTTCTGAACCAACCCACAGGTGCTTCCACACCCGCTGGAGCCACTGGTCATCACAGGCTGACCCTGTCCCCAGTACATAGACTCCGCACTGGGCCCTGCAGGGTCTGGTTGCTGTCTCCACTGCTGCAGCGGGGGAGACAAACCACCTCAGGCCAGGCGGCTGTGGCGCATGCCTTTAATCCCAGCCCTCAGGAGGCAGAGCCAGGCGGATCTCTGTGAGTTCGAGGCCAGCCTGGGCTACAGAGTAGGACAGCCAGAGCTGTTACACAGAGAAACCCTGTCTCGAACCTCCCCCAAAAACAAACAAACAAACAGGCTTGTTGGACCAAAGGGATAGTGCTAATCAGCAGCTTGACTCGGTTTCTCTAGCAACAACACTAAAGAGGGGTGGTAGTGGACATTTTCTGAGAAGAAAATAGCTCCCCCCATCGGTGGGTCAGCCCATCCTTTGCCACCACTGTCTGTGCCCCATACCCACACTTGGCTCCCCTGACATCACTTCCTAGAGAGTGAGACGCCAACCTGCACAAGGAACATCAGTCATAGCATGAAATCCAGTTGGTGTGACATGGAGCCACTTCAGCCCCATTTCTCAGCCAGGACAGCTGAAACTCAGCCTGCCCAGCCACTTCAGGACTAATGGAGCACAACCTTGTGTATGTCCACCCTCGGCTGACCCCACACTGAGCATGTGGTCTGTGGAGATCAACACATACCATAACAAGAAGACACTTTACATCCAATTGCCAAATGAAGAAGCTGAGTGTGGATGGCACTCACCTGTAATTCTTTTATTCTAGCACTTGGGATGTGGAGACTGGAGAATCAGGAGTTCAAGGCCAGCCTGGGTTGCATCAGACTCAGCATTAAAAAAAAAAAAAAAAAGATTGAAGAGTTGGCTCCCGGTTAAGAGCATAAACTGCCCTTCCAGAGGACCCAACTTTCGTTCTCAGCACCACACATGTTCACAACCACCTGCAACTCCAGCTCCGTGGGATGCAATGCCTCTGGCCACTGCAGGCACCTGCACTCACATGCACCTTCACACAGACACACGCACACACACACACACACAAGTAATGCTTCTTAAAGGCTCCTTGAGGTGACTTGCCCAGGTCCTACAGCGTAGGACAGACAGAGAAAACGTGGCAAAGCTCAGCATGCAGGTGAGGAGCAGGCTTTCTCCCTTGTACCCTCAGTGAATCCGAAAGACAGACTCCCGTGTTAGCCGCCTTCCCACGATTATGCAAGTCCCTGAGAAACAGGAAAGGTTTGTTTGGGCTTGTGGTTTCCAGCTGTAGCTGGCTGCCATGTTGCTGTGGGCCTAAAGCAGCACAGAATTTAATGGCAGCAGAAGCTCTGCCAGGGAACCTCGTAGGGGCCAGCAACAGAGCCAGAGAGAAGTCTGGTGCAGAATATCCCTTCACGGGTACATAATCCAGGGCCCCACTTCCTCCAACCATGCCTCACCTCTTAGTTTCTACCATCTCAAGAATGCCATCAAATTGTGAATCCATCAATGGATTAATCCATTGGTGAGCTAGGAACCCTCATGACCTAATCAGCTCTCCATTCACCAGCCAATGAGTCCAACTCTTTAGCACACGAGCCTTTGGAGGAGTTTGTTTTGTTTTTTGTTTTCGAGACAGGGTTTCTCTGTATCGCCTTGGTTGCCCTGGAACTCACTAGCCCAGGCTGGCCTTGAACTTGCAGAGATCTGCCCGCCTCTGCCTCCCAAGTGCTGGGATTAAAGATGTGCACCACCACTACCCGGGTGGAGAACTTCATACTCAAATCATAACATGAGGAATGCAAAGAAATCTTTCCTGTGGTGGGGATGTAATTCAATACATCGCTGGCCTAGCCTACACCACGCCCTGGCTTCCATCCTTAGCACCACATAGAATGACTATGGTGGCACATGCCTGGATTCCCAGCACTTGAGAGGTTCAAGACCATCCTTGGCTACATAGTAAGTTGGAAGCCAGCTTGGAATGCATAAGACCCTCTTTTGGCCAGGTAGTAGCGGCACACGCCTTTAATTCCAGCACTTGGAAGAGGCAGGTGGATCTGTGAGTGCAAGGCCAACCTGGTCTACAGAGCGAGTTCCAAGACAGGCTCCAAAATTTCCAAGAAACCTTGTCTCAAAAAAGCAAAAAAAAAAAAAGAAAAGAAAGATCCTCTTTTGTTCTATTTGTTTAAAAGGGGGTGGCGATGAGATGGCTCAACAGGTCAAGGCATTGGCCACACAAGCCTCGAACCCACATGTTTTAGGGTTTCTATTGATGTGATAGAAAGAAAGAAAGAAAGAAAGAAAGAAAGAAAGAAAGAAAGAAAGAAAGAAAGAAAGAAAGAAAGAAAGAAAGAAAGAAAGAAAGGAAGAAAGAAAGGAAGAAATGAGTAAATAAAGAAATAAGTAAATAAATAAATAAACTATCAAGCCCAAGCCCAGCTGGGCATGGTGGCACACGCCTTTAATCCCAGCATTGAGGAGGCAGAGGCAGGCGGATCTCTGTGAGTTCAAGGCCAGCCTGTCTACAGAGTGAGATCCAGGACATCCAGGGATACACAGAGAAACCCTGTCTCAAAAAAAAGAACAAAACAAAACAAAAAACCACCAAGACCATAAACAACTTGGGGGAGCAAAGAGTTTATTTCACTTCCACATCACAGTCCATCATCCGAGAGTCAGGGCAGGAACCTGGTGGCAAGAACTGATGCAAGGGCCACCGAAGAGTGCTGCTCACTGGCTTGCTCTTCGCGGCTTGCTCAGCCTGCTTCTGTTACTCCCAGGACCACCTGTCCAGAAGTAGTGCCACCTAGTGATCTGGGCCCTCCCACATCAATCAAGAAAGTTGACCAGAAGTTTGCCCACTGACCAATCTGGTAAGGGCATTTTCTCAATTGAAGTTCCCTCTTCCCAAATGACTGTTTTGTGCCAGGCTGACATAAAACTAGCCAGCACACCAACCACATAAAGGTGGAAAGTGAACCAATTTCTTCTAAGCTTTGCCCTCTGACCTCTACACGTGTTGTGTATTGCCCCCTCCACCATAATTAAAAAAAAAAAATGCAATGTACCTTTTCTTCCCGCCAAACCTTTGAATTGACTATTCTCTTTGGCTGGAATCAGGGGTTCAATTTCATCCCCAGCTACACAGGCCAGCTTGGGTTGCATGAGACCCTCTGTTGAAAGGGCAGGGGAATGAGATGGCTCAGAGTGAAGGCACTCGGCTGCAAGCTGGGCGATCTGAGCTCAGAATGCCTTCCCCTTTCACGTGAGCCCCCTTCTTTCACGAACCCTACAGGAACCCCTAGGCTGGATTAGAACCTTCTCTTGGTTCCAAGAGTTCCCCTCTCCCAGTCTTGCCTATCCCAGCTATCCCTATCACTCTGTTCTTCACAGTTGACCATTATGGATGTCACTGCGGTCTCCCTCATGGCCTGGTGTGCTCATTTTCAGTGCTGAACTGCCTAGAGTACAAGTTCAAAAGATTGTTAGATAAATAAATCAGAGGAAGCCGGTCGGTGGTGGCGCACACCTTTAATCCTAGCACTTGGGAGGCAGAGGCAGGCAGATATCTGAGTTCAAGGCCAGCCTGGTCTACAGAGGGAGTTCCAGGACACCCAAGGCTATACAGAGAAACCTTTTCTCAAAATAAATAAATAAATACATAAATACATAAAGTCAGAGAAGTAACTATGGGGAGAGAGTTCACAATTCTTGACTCCTAGTTCAGACATCAGATAAGGACCAATCTAGAACAGCCTACCCAGAGAGTAGAAAGTTCTTGACATCTCCACGGGTGGGAGGAGTCCCGTGCACTCACTAGGAACGGACTGCTGACAAACCAGCATTTCAATGCCCGAAGCCTGAAAGATGCCATGTCATCTTTGGAAACCTGAAGATTAGAGAGACAGAGAGAAAAACAGAGAGAGAGAGAGAGAGAGAGAGAGAGAGAGAGAGAGAGAGAGAGAGAGAGAGAGCGAGCGAGCGCTTCCCGACGGAGGAAGCTCAGCCTGGATCTTTATTTTTTTAACCTCCCTCTCTGCTGACATCCTACACCAGTGGCACAGAACAATCACAGCTGTCCCCACCCGAATCCTTGGACAGCTGCTGTGATTTGAATAACCAGGCAGGCTGATGATATGTGTGTGTGTGTAGGGGGAACGGACATGGGACTGATTTGCCTGCTAAACAGTCCCTGGAGTCCTTCACCCTGCCAAGACTGGAGCCATGCTTCTTTCTTCTCTCTATCCCCACCAGTAGCCTAAGCAATTCTCTCACTCAAGCCTCTGGGGGTCCTCTAGTGTCTCAGCCCCTGGAGACTGCAGAGTTCCTTGGGGGCCTGGCCTAGGAAAGGAGCCATAATAGCAGGCCCCAGGGCAGCGGTAACTAGAGCCAGTTAAGGCTGCTCCCCAGGCTTGTCCCAAAATTTGCATGAAGAGAATGAGGCTCCTCCATGGGTCTCCTGACCTCACCTGGTTCTGGATAGTTCTGGGGCTGAGGTCTGACAGGCAGTCAGACAGGCTGAAGAGGCAGTCCTGCGAGGAGCCATCCCACCAGCCTAAAAGCCATGCCCCGGGTCTTCCTTGTGAGGAGTCGGCGTCCACAACCCTCTAATTGGAGCCATCTGCCTGACCAGCTCCGGGGAGATGCCTACATCCCAGGTATACATCTCAATGGGTCTGGAGGTGAAGGGCCAGGGAGACTGAGGTATCACCACCCGGCTTCTCTCCCCAGACTGCAGCAGCCTGAAGGTGCCACCAGCGCACAGATCTCCCGGTCTGCGAGACACGTGGGCAGTGGTGAGTCTGCGGCCGGCAGCTGAGACAGGGATGGATTCCCACTCGCTCACGGGAAGCCGGCTCCCCTTTACTCCAGGTCCTTTTCACATGCTTTCCACTTAGGACCTGTTGTTCTTCACGTGGCATGCTGCCCCTTCCCAGCAGCCAGCTCTGCCCAGTCTCGGTTAAGACCGGCCTTCCTAGGGTGGGTGGGCAGCTGTAGGGCTGCTCCAGGAAGCTGTGTCTGGTGGACGATTTATATCAGAACACTGGAGAAGGTAACAGAGATGGGCGTGGGGCTCTGCTGCCTTAACCTCCCAGGAGCGGGTCAATTGTGCTGTCTTTGAAAGGAAAGTACTAGTCTTTCTGAGTGTGCTTGAGGTCTTCTCAGTATGAGAGGCAGGCACTGGTCAAGGTGCTGAGTATCCAGCAGAAGGGATGGAAGTCCACTTCCTCATGGAGCTTCTTCTTGGTGGGAGCTGGAGGCACAGACAATAAAACTAGGAAAGCTCATATTAGCGAAGTGTGTTCTTGGCAATGGAGGCACATGAACACCAGAGTGATGGGATCTGGTTAGGGAAGGTCTTGGGGAGAGGGTGGCACCTGTCCTCACGACTCACAGACCCTCTTCTGGTGGTCCTTAGCTGTGGGCACACGGACAATTCTTGTTTGCAGAGTAGCAAAGCCTGGGCAGGATCCAGCTGGCCAGGCTAACTCCTGTACCCCTCTGGCAGTCCTCACAGGGAACACTGACCTCTGCTCCCAGGGCCCCGGGAACACTTGGCTGCCCACTTTGCCCCAAGGCCTTCCCATTGCAGCGCATGCTGACTCGGCACCTCAAATGTCATAGTCCAGCACGGCGCCACGTGTGCCATTGCTGTGGTAAGGGCTTTCACGATGCCTTCGATCTCAAGCGCCACATGAGGACTCACACTGGTGAGCGACAGCGGAAAAGAGGGTCTTCTGGACACCAGCCAGGGGCGGTGATGGAATGAGAGGGAGAGGCACGGGATGTGGGGTATGTGGCAGGGACACAGGTAATGGGGTACCTCACAGGAGGTGAGTATAAGCTGGCACCAAGGAAGGAGTCTGGCAGAGGGTAGAGATGGGTGCTGGCTACAGAATTCAGGCTCTGGGGCCAGCAAGATTCCTCAGTGAGTAAAGGCCCGAGTTCAATCCTCAGGACCCAGGAGGTGTAAGAACAGACTGCAAGTTATCTCTGACTTGTACCATGGCATTTGTGCACTCGCTAGCTCGCATGCACATACAAATACATACCCACTAAACAAAATGTAATTAAAAAAAAAAAAAATCAAGCCAGGTTTGGTGGCACCTGCCTTTAATCCCAGCACTTGGGGGGCGGAGGCAGGCAGATTTCTGTGAGTTTGAGGCCAGCCTAGTCTACAGAGCGAGTTCCAGGACAGCCAAGACTACACAAAGAGACCCTGTCTCAAAACAAAAACAAAAAAAAAGTAAATTTTCAGGATCCAGATTCAGAGCAGTCAAGGGAACTTTCCAAGTTGCTAAGGGCTCCTCCCTTTCTCGGGAGCTTCCTGGTGAGGAATGGAGGAGACAAAGGGCTGGTTCATGTTGCTTTAGGAAGGGGTAGCAGGTGGCTGGTGGGCCCTGAGTGTAAGCGTCTGCCCAGCTTGGAACAAGGACAGGAAAGGCAAGGTGGGAAGCCTATAGTCCAGGACCGTTGCCCTCTCTGGCCCTCATCTTTGCAGGCATTCGGCCATTCCGCTGTGGAGCTTGTGGAAAAGCTTTCACGCAGCGCTGCTCCCTTGAAGCTCATCTTGCCAAGGTGCACGGGCAGCCAGCCAGCTACGCTTACCGGGAGCGCAGGGAGAAGCTGCATGTGTGTGAAGACTGCGGCTTCACCAGCTCTCGGCCTGATGCCTACGCGCAGCATCGCACGCTACACCGCACAGCCTGATACACCGGCTGCCGCCTATCCACGAGACAAATAAATACGGGGAACACTAGTATAGAAACTGGCATTTATTACAGATGGGGGAAGGAACAGTCATTCAGTCCAGCGGTGGCCGCAGTGGGGGGCGGTACACACATAGTACAAGCGCATGGCATCCTGGCAATAAGAAGGTTCAGTTAGGAAGGGTCTGGACCGAGAGAGAGTAGTGTGGGCTATTCCACCCCAAAGAACAGGCAAAGGGAGGCAGAACAGGATCAGCCCAAAACTAGCATCTCCACCCCCTGGGGAACCAGCCAGCCACCCAGGAAGGAGTGGTCCGCTCACCTCAGCTCGGGCACTGTGTGACTGGAAGAACACTGCCTCCTTGTGGCCACACCTAAGGAGATGGTACAGTTACTAGAAGTGTTAAAGACCCCAGTTTCCCCGGGGGACAGCCACTGCCTTTCCCAAGTGAGCTGCGCACTCACTTCTGGCAGGGGTGGTCCTCCGTCCGCGGCAACGTGGGGTCCTGCGACACGTCTGCGATGATCTGGGTCAGTTCGCTACAGGGATGGGGAAGTGAGCCATTACGGTTAGACTGGCTGTCCCAAGACCACACCCGAACCCCAAGCCGGGGTCCCGCCACTCACTCCACTTCGTGCGTGATTTTGTTGACGTAGATGCAGCTGTTGTCGGCTTCCTGCTGGTAGTCACAGTTCCGGCACTACCGGAGGGGCAAGAGTGGCGGGAGGGGTGTCACAACGAGACCAGACTGGACGGGAGGGCAGGATGATCCCGGAGGGGGTGGACATGATGGGAGAGAGGCAAAAGCGTGGGGAACCGGCAGGGAGCGGGGAGGAGGGAAGGCGCGAACCCTCGGGAGAGGGCGGCTGGCACTCACCGCGTACAGCAGGATGCGGTTCTCCTTGTCCTCCTTGGGGTACAGCATGTTATTACTGTGGGGAGAGGGAGGTCAGAGGCCAGGCCTGAAGCCAATCCTCACTGCTTTTCCACACCGGCTGCCCAGGCCTCACCATTCCTGGCAGAATCGAATACCCACGAAGCCGGGCTCGTAGGTCCCGTCGGGTTCCATAGCGAAGGGGCTTCCGAGCTTTCTGCGCTTGCGCCGGCGCGCTACGGACCGCGGGAAGGGTCATGCCGCGTGGCTGCGCCAAAATGGGTCGGGGATGCGTGCGCATGTTGGTTCTCAACCTTGCGGGGTTGTGGCTGACGGCTTGCCGCAGTCCTTTGGTACTCTCTGGTAATCACTCCCGGTTTCGCAACCTTGCTCCCCAATTTACGGAGAGCACGGACCTAGGACAAGCGCTGAGACTATGATGCACAACGCCGTGCGCCAGGCGCTGAGCGTAAGCGGAAGACGCCACGGCTCGCTTCTGGGCCCAGGCCAGTGCACATGCGCCGAGCTTACTCCTGGCGAACCCGGACAACTCCAGGCAGCCTTTCTTCTTGGTATCCGCCTCCTCCCGCCCGCCTGGGCGGCCTCCCTTGCAGCTATTGGCAGAACCCGGAGCCACGGAAGGCCGCTCGGGATTGGCTGAACCTGCCCGGCGGTGGAGAGAGGACGACAGTGACTGGCCAAGCATGCTTGTTGGAGCGCTCGCATTGGCCCTCTTCGCGGCCGGGGGCGGGACTGATATCCCAGAAGGAGCGGCGGCCTCTGCGGAGCCGGTGTGAGACGGCTGAACTGGACCGCGGGCCACCGCAGGGCGCGGCGAGATGGAGGTGACGGGGGTGTCAGCGCCCACGGTGACGGTTTTCATCAGCAGCTCCCTCAACAGCTTCCGCTCGGAGAAGCGGTACAGCCGGAGCCTCACCATCGCAGAGTTCAAGGTGTGGCCGTGGGGGCGGGCCCGGAGGGCGGGGCCTGGAGCCTGGTGGGCGGGGCTTGAGGTGAGGGTGCAGAGACTGGTAACCAGCCTCCGAGGCGTGGGAGTCCACCGAGTAGGGGCGGGGCCCAGGGAAATCCGAGGCTCCGGAGAGCCGAGGGGGCGGGTCCCAGAAGGAACGGAGCTGGGTGGGTCCAGGGTCTTTGGGAACCATCGTAGTGGTTGATACAGGCCAGAAAATGAGGCCTCTGACAGCCTCTCTCCTCATTCTGCCCCTTGCCGCAGTGTAAACTACAACTGGTGGTGGGCAGCCCTGCTTCCTGCATGGAGCTGGAGCTGTATGGAGCTGATGACAAGTTCTACAGCAAGTTGGATCAAGACGATGCACTGCTGGGCTCCTATCCTGTAGATGATGGCTGCCGCATCCATGTGAGGCCACCCTTTCCACACCACGTTCATCTGTTTATTTAGTCCACAAATACTGTGCTCTGCCCATTGTGGTAACCAGTATAGGCCCTGTCCTCATGGAAGCCCCGTTAAGCCTGGTGGAAAGCAGATGTTCAGCAGACAGTGACAGACCAGAGCTGTCTGTCCTGGGTTAGGGGCACTCCCGGGAGTGGTGAAACCCCGGAGAGGCGCCTGACTTGACTTGGGGGTATCTGAAAGGGCTTCCTGGAGGAGTGGATGTTTGAGCTGATATCCTGAGGATGTTATGTGGAGGGAAAGAGAGTACAGAACTCCAAAAAATTGAGGTGAAGCACCCTGAGCAGGAAGGCTGGCCAGATTGGGAGAGGCGAGAACACAAAAGGACCTCTGTGCAACAGCTCTCCTCACCTTGCCCACTCAGCCCCTACCCCAGGGTTAGACACCCTGTCCTGAGCTCCGCCTTGCCCACTCAGCCCCTACCCCAGGGTTAGACACCCTGTCCTGAGCTCCGCCTCTGTCCCTTTTCTGCTTTGTGTTGTAT